TGCTGTGTGTGTTCTGACTTCGTCCCGTCTCGTGCTGGGCTTGCGATCATCAGACACCTTTCCTCACATGGGCCTCTTTCATTTGCTCAGCCAGCTTGTCAAGGAAGAAATTACGGTGATAATTTGGTAATTTTAGTAAAATTGCTGTCTGTAGGCAGCTGGGCTTAGAGCAGGGAAAGCCCTTTGTTCCTGTGGTCCGTTTTGGACTCCGGTGCTTTGTGCGTGGAGTTGAGCGGGTCGGGTTTCCCAGGGTATTCACAACCTGCTTGTGCTGTTTCGTTGCACCTGCTGCTTCACATGCATCCCCCCTTGGCAGTGGTGGGTTGTGGGGACTTTGAAGCAGCGGGCATGAGGCTCTGTGCCCGGGACACTGCAGTCACCCTCGGGTGGGCGGCTGGGTTTCGGTTTTTCGGTTATAAACAGTGTTGGCTGTTGTTTGGGTTGTCTATCTCTGGAGCCAGCCACCCACACATAGTGGCTTGGAACAACAATCATTTTATTGCTAAGGAATTTGGGCTGGGTCTTCTGTCTTTGTAGTGTTTGCTGTGGTCACCGGTGATGCTTGGGGCCTGGCTGGGGCTGGGCTGCCGAGGTTGGCGCCTCACCTGGGGGTTGGTGTGGTTTCCCCTTTGTGGACCCCAGTCCATGTGGTCACACTCACCAGCAGTACAGTCAGAATTCTGTTTTTAAAACTTAGTCACTTTCTTATTGGAAAAGGAAAGTGATCAGAAGGAGGGAGAGAAGGAAGGAGGGAAGGGTATGGGCCATTTCCCAAAGCGCAACAACAACCCTGGCTGGTCCAGGCCAAAGTCAGCAGCCCAAAGCCAGCAGCTTGGAACTCTGGGCCTCCCACATTGGTGGCAGGGGCTGTCCTCTGCTGCCTCTCCAGGTACATGAGCTGGGAGCTGGCTCAGAGACAGAACTCCCAGGTGGAATGCCATTGTCACAGGTGGCAGCTTAGCCGGCTGTGCCCAGGCCAGCCCCCACAGTCTTGATTTGGTGTTTGACTTCCAGGACTGCCAGGACTCTGCTTGGCCCTAAACCCAGGCCTGGCAGGGCTCCCCAGGTCACCACTGGTCACAAGGCCCCTCCAGCTGGCAGAGTGGGGGAACAGCAGCCCCCTCCAGCCCTGTGGGAGGTGGGTGTGTGGGTTCCAAGATGGGATGAGATGGCAGTGGCTGAACTGGTGGAAAAATCTCACACAACTTCCAGATGCCAGATCTTGCCCACCTGCCTGATGGGTTTTGGAGTCCACAGTGAAGGTTTTCTGAAGGCAGGTGTATGCACGGCAGGGGGTGGATTGGAGGCTTGGCACTGTCCCATCGCCTCCATAGTGAAGGCATGAAAAACCCCTATCCTGTAGCGGCCTGTGTTGCAGCTGGGAGCAGGTGCTGGGGCAGCCCAGCAGGACCCTGGGTGCCCTCTGGATCCCCAGTTCTTGAGGAAGAGGGTGACGTCTCTGTTTCTCAGCAGGGGAGAGTGGCTCCGGGGTGAGCTTTGTCCATTGCCCCACTCCTATGTTCTCTTCCTCCCACTGTGCCGTGGGATGGCTTGAGTCATGTAGGAGTAAGTGGCTTCCTGTGTTGTTTTTGTCCCCCAGGGGCCTGACAGGGCCACAGTGACCCATCATCTTGAGTCAGCTTTCCCAGCTCTGCCATCCACAAGGTCTTTTGCAGGGGACAGTGGCGTCATCTCCCTGGCCCTTGCTTTCCTTATCTGAACCAGAAAACAGCTGGTCCTTCCAGCATATAGGGCTGTCGGGGAGATTCAGAGGGGAAGCTCGGAAAGCACCTACATTTTCAGGGGTGACAAAGGTGAAACAAGGCATTTCATTTCCTGGGGGCCCTTCCCCCACCACACCTCAACCACCTCTGCTCTCCCTGGCCTGGGTCACACAAGCCACTGTATTTAGTGTCACTACAAATGTCACAGAGCCCTAGCCCAGAGCTCTTCTGCCCACATGGACTCTTGGAAGTTGTTGGAGGCAGCAGCTCCTGCTGCCCACTTGCCCAGCTGTTGGCCCGCACTGGCTGCTGGTCATGGCTCCAGGCCCCTCTTCCTGGGCGGGGGTCTCCCCTTCTCAGGGAGGCTCCCCTCTGCCAGACCTGCAGAGGTGGGGATGGCTCTCTGAAGTGTGCTCAGAACATAGTACAGACTCCATGACTTGGGGGCGAGGAGCCAACGTCTTCACGTTGAATCATGGGTGAGTCAGCGTCAGCCTGTCACATCCGGCCCTGGGTGTCCTGCCTGCGGCGCATCATGGTTAGTATCGCCTGGCAGGGCACACTGTGTTGAAAAGCCGCATGGAGTTCCCTGGGTGACCATTCATTGTTTGATTGTCTGTGATGGCTTGCCCTGAGAGCTGATCACATTTTCTTGTAAACACCAATTTTCCAGCAAAATCACTCCCCAGGTTTGTGACTTCTGTGCTGTGGGCATTGCCGACAGGGCCCCCGAAACTCCCTGGAGGCTGAGTCAGGAGGAGATGTTGACCTGGGGTGATGACTTTTGTCTCCGCTGTGCTGTGCAGAGCAGCTGGCTGCTACCAGGGCCGTGCTGGAGGTCCCCTGGCCTGGGACAGTCACCCAGAGATGGAGGTGGAGGGACACTCATGTTTGCAGTTGAAGTTCCAAGTAGATATTCCCCCACATTGATTCCCAGTCGGCCTCTGCCTGGTTGTTGGGGAGAACTAGATCTCAGCGGTCATGAACTGTGATGTTGGGATCGTGATTCCATTTGAACTTGGACATCTAATTTGCAGTCTTCAGGGGTCTGTGTAGCTCTCAGGAGACTGTCCAGGTCATCTCCCCGTGTTAAAGGCAGGAACGCCTCTCGCAGGGCTCATGGCTGGCTGGGGGCAGTGGGTTGTGTGAGGGACGCAAAGTCTGCACTCCTAGCCATGGTGTGGCCAGGATCTTCAGAGGTTGGTTTCAAGACATGGAGTGAGGCTTGTAGAGCAGGGTTTCTGGGGCGTGTAGTGGGGTGCCCCCTGCATCCATCAGGTGGGCCTGGTAGTACTGCCCGGGGCAGCTCCAGGCTATGCCCCTGGACTTTGAGATGTGGAAATGGAGCTCATTGTGCCCAAGGAGATTACCACATGCCATCCACCTGCCACGGCTCCTGTTTCCCAAGCCTGGCTCTTCATCCCTGTGTGGGTGTCTGTAAGTTAGAGATGTTGGCTAAGGTTGCAGGTGTATTTCCTTACACTTTCTTTTCATCTGCCTGTCAGATGGATTCTGGCTCAGCCCCTGAGTTACAGTCTGCAGACCTGGAGGTCTGTGGGCTGCACAGCAGCACTTGTGGGATGCTTGGCAGCTGTGTCTAAGGAGGCTGGGGCCGACTGAAGGGGACAGCTCCTGCCTGGCTCCAGCAATGCTGGAGCGTGTTGTGTCACTGTGAGCTGGATGTGCCAAAGGCTTAGAAATAGTGACAGCTGGCCCCGGGCAAGGGTAATATCCAGAGAGCTGACTTGGTGTATGGTTGCAAGCTTGGGCTTTCTGTTGGCCTGGCGGAGCTCCAGTCCTGCCTGGATTCTGTCCTCATGGTGTAACCTTGGCCAAGCAGCTCCACCTTTCTGAGCCTCAATGTGAGAGTTGCCTGGTGGCATGGGCAAAGTGAAATGTTTCATGGAATTGTCAGAAGGACTCAAATGACTCGATGCCGCTCAGGCATTGCAGCCCAAAGCCTGGCTTCGTGAGAGGGCTCAGTGAATAAATGACATGTCTGTTGTCTTCACGTGTGAACAGAATGTGCCTTAGGGTTCCCAGGAACATTAGGGGACTCCATGAATGATAGAGCATGTCAGGGTCTTAGGGTCGTCCATTGTTTTACCACCTGCTTGGCTCACTCTGATGGATCAAATGTGGTGACCGACTATTGAAGGAATCAGAGTATTGAAACTGAATCCTAGTAATTAAAAGTGCTACAAAGACCTATATACCAGAATTATATTATGCGGGAAATATAAAATGCACCTGTCCACCCATCCAGTCGTCCACCCATCCAGTCATCCCCTCATCCAGTTGTCCACCCATCCAGTCGTCCACCCACCCAGTCATCCACCCATCCAGTCGTCTACCCATCCAGTCATTCATTCACCCTCCCCCATCCATCTAGCCACCTGCCTGTCTGCCATCCATCCATCATCCTACCCATCTAGGAAGCTTGGCAGCTTCCTAGCCAGCTGGCCTTGGGCGAGTCACAGGTTCCCTGTGTCCTGAGTGGAAATGCTAGTCCCACAATTCAGGGCCGTGAGAATCGAGAGGGATGGCATATGGAGAATACATGGGGCAGTGCCAGGCACATGAGAAATCATGCAGTCACTATTGTTTTGCTCCCCTGCCTGCCTGTAATCTGTCCCCTGGGATCCCCTGACCACTTGCAAGGTGGGCTTGACTCATAGCACCTCCATGTGTGTCTCTAAGTCTCTTCTGCACTCCCTTTCTTTCCATAGTTCTTCAGGAGACTTGGTGCCTAGATTTGTGGTCCATCAACCTGGGGCACAAGGGGCTCCATAGAGGAGGCCCTGACCTGGCTAACGCAGAGCCTGTGTCTCTCCTCTCTCACAGGGATTCAGACCTCTTCCTGCTCAACGGCCGCACACTCTGGGCCTCGGAGGAGGGGTGGCTGGTGTTCGACATCACGGCCACCAGCAACCACTGGGTGGTCAACCCACGCCACAATCTGGGCCTGCAGCTTTCAGTGGAAATTTGGATGGTGAGTCCCTGGCAGTGCCACCACTGACTGGCCTGCACTCATGCCACTGCACGTCAGGAGGATCTCGGCTGTGTGTCTGCCTGTTTCCCTGCAAGCATCCTGCCCTGGCCCCTCGGAACTGACACCCACTCACAAGTCTTTGGACAGCACCTTCCCCCTAGCTCCAGGTGTCTCCCAGCCACAGCAGCAAATCTGGGTCATCGGCAGCTTTTCAAACTCAGATCAGGTTCTGGAAGTGTTGCCTGCTTGAGGCTACAAAAAGTTTGTCAGTTTGCCCTCTTGGGGCTGTTCATTTGCGCACACATGCACACAGCGTGTGCTCACGCACTCACAAGAACACCCAGCAATACCTGAGGGTCCTTTCACTCCGCCTTGCTGGTTCAAGGTCTAATCTCCCTTGACCTGATCTGTGTGAGGTGGAGCCCCTGGGGTCCTGGTACAGACTCCTTTTTTTTTTTAAGATTTATTTATTTATTTGAAAGGCAGAATAACAGAAAGAAAGAGAAACAGAGAAAGATATCTTGCATCTGTTGGTACACTCCCCACATGGCCCACATGGCTGTATTAGCTTGAGCTGGGCCTGGCTAAAGCCTGGAGCTCAGGTGTCCCACATGGGTGGCAGGTGTCCAGTCACATGGACCATCCTGTACCGCCTTCCCAGGGAGCTGCCTTGGCAGGCAGCTGGGGAAGCAGAGCAGTGACACTCAAACAGGCAGAAGCTTAACCTTCGAGGTCACAGCACCAGCCCCTCACCTGTTTGTTTTGATTTTGTCTGTGGGAAGAACTGTTTCATGGAAAAAATTGGAAGAATGCTATCATCATATGTAGCATGGCATGGCATTCACAATTCGGCTTCCACACATGATGTGCCAGTGGCACGCAGCCACGCTCACTTGTTAACATTCCATCTAGGGATAAATGCTTTTTTCTAAATAGAGTTGAGGAATGATAACAGAGACCCCATGCCCCGCCAAACTGAAAAATATGAGTTATTTTTGGAAATAGATTTACAGGAAGTTGGTGGCCACTACTGTAGGCCAGACTTTCTCAAACTGTGCTCCATGCCATGTCAGTAGGTACTCCAGGGACAAGGAAAGGCCTCGTGGTCATGTCAGCATGAAGAATGCCAAGGCTTGTAAACTAAACAGGTCTCTGCAGGACTTATCAGAGCCTTTAAAAAGAAAAAGGCTTTAATTTTCAAAGACAGAGAAAAGGAGAGACAGAAAGATCTTCCAGCTGCTGGTTTACTCCTCAAATGGCCCTAATGGCTGGAGCTGAGCCAATCCAAAGCCAGGAGCTTCTTCTGGGTCTCCCACGCAGGTGCAGGATCCCAAGGCTTTGGGCCATCCTCATCTGCTTCCCCAGGCCACAAGCAGAGAGCTGATTGGGAAGTGGGACTGCCAGACACAAATTGGCACCCATATGGGATCTTGGCACATTCAAGGAGAGGACTTTAGCCACTAGGCTACTGCGCTGGGCCCCATAAGAGCTTTTCCTTGTCCACCTTCTGTTGTGACTGTTGTGGAACAGTGGGTGGAGGAGCCTGAGTTAGCAGGTGCTACACAGTCCTGCAATTGCTTCTTCTTCAAGGCACCTGCAGGAAATATTGGGAAGAACTAAAAATGAAGTTCTGTAACCGGTGAGCTTGAGTGTTACTGTCAGTGACCTGTGGCTTCTGGCCTCCAACCTGACCTTGGCGGGGCCTTCATGTCTGTCCTGCATGCCCGCTGGCTCGGGCAAGCCTGGTTTCTATGGCTAGTTCCTCTTGGTGTCAGGCCTGCTGTCTTCTTCCTCCCCTAAACCCATCCATGAGCCCCTTTGCTTCCAGCTTCTGTTTCCCCCGAGGCTGTGGACAGGGCTTGGTGTCTGTCGAGGCAGCACTGGCTAGGGGTCAGAGCCCAGTTCGGAAGCAGATGCCCAGGTTCCAGTCCCAGCTTGGGCAGGTGCACTGCAGCAATGCCCAGCCTGTGCTGGCTGTGGGACTCAGTGTGCCGTCATCACTGTCTCCTCTTGTGTCCACTTGGCAGGTAGATACTGTCATCAACACCCTGGGGATGGAGGGTGGCAGAAACTCCTGGGGATCCCTCTCCATGCTCCGTGGCACACTGTCTGGTATGAGGGCAAGGCTTCCATGCTAGGTGGAAGATACCCATGACATGCCCCTGTCTCTTTCATTCCTGGTTAGGGCACCAGGGTTGGGTGTGGGTGCTGTCTCTGGGGACCTAGCATGTCCAGGGACTGTGCATGCCCAGGAGGCCTGGATTGGGAAGGGACCACCCCCTGAGTGATTGGACTGCACAGCTGAAAGAGGTTTCCATTCCCTGGGGATGAGTAGAGACACAGTGAGCCTGCACGGAAGGCTCTGGAAGCTTTGCTTTCCCCCATTTGGTTCTTGAGCACGGATCCTGCCCTGGAGGTGCACAGAGCATGCCTGGACACTGACACAGAGCCCAGAAACATGTGAGCTTCATGGATACCTGGGGCCTGGCCAGGGACAACTCTGGCAAAGCTGAGCCTGGTGTTGGCGGTCCCTGTTGGCAAGTTGGTGGCACCTGAGCTGACGGATGCCCTCTAGATTCTCCCATTAGATGCCTCCCAGGGAGAGATGCTGGCTATGCTGGGAAGGTCAAGGTCATCGCACAGCTTGGAACACACCGATGATGCGCCAAGCTGGACTGACTGCAGAGGCCCAGTCCCTGCTGAGGCCCTCCTTCCAGGACTAACTCAGCATTGCGGCCTCAACACCCTTGGGGCAACAGCACTGGAGCTGTGGTCCTCTCCAGGGTGCAAGGAGCCTTACCCTGGGCAGCCCCTCGTAGCCACTGGGCTACATTGTTCCCCCAGGCAGAGGGGTCCTCAGGTGGCTGCAGGGACATGGGGTCTGACTCCTGTAGGGTCCTCATTTCCCCACCCAGGCAATGGGTGCATGCATGATGGCTGTCTAGGCCAGCTGCCTTCATCCTAGCCAGTGGGCATGCATACCATGCTTGGGAGGCCTGACTTTCCATGAGGCCTACTTTCCTGCGGCCTCAAAGCTCCAGGGCCCCACGGAACCCTCCTTTCCTTTTCATCTGGCCCTGGCGGGAGGTCTCAGGGTCAGAGGTGCCCTCCCGAGACCACCTGGGAAGTGTGGGAGGCGTACGTGCCTTCCTTCTTCCCACCTGCGGCCCTCCTGTGACTCACCCCTGCAGCACAGCTGGCTTCCGCCCTGGCTCCCTGTGCCCCCATGATGGGGGAGGCAGGGACCCCGGAAACTCCACAGCACCTGTGGTTCATCATCTCCCCAGGGATGGGGCGGCCCGCTGTCAGCACATCTCTTGTTAAGGAAGATTGAAGGACAGGCAGCTCATGGCTGAGCCGCAGGGGCAGCTGTGTCCTGCACCCCACATGGGTGCTGGGGACTCAGGGCGAGGAGAAAGCTGCCCAGGGGGTGGAGAGGGGCACCAGCGCAGGTAGAGAGGATGACTTTTCAGAAGGCGCCAGGCCCCAGGCCTGGCATACTGTCCACCCTCTTGACATCACTGCTGGGGTTGCTGTGTGGTCCCCATATGACCCCTTGCTGCCTGCATGCTGTCACATCTCTGAGGTTGCACTCCAGGGAGCTGATGAGCTCCTGGCTCTGGGGAAAAGTCTGGCCCCAGTCCCTCCCTCTGCAGGGAACTCAAACTCAGGGTGGGACTGTTAGCTTGGGGAGCCCAGGACCTGTGGATCCTTCCCCTGCCCTGGGAGGTGGTTTCCTGCAGCACGGACCTTGGAAAACCCCAGGGCCTTCTCACTGCAGTAAGAGGATTGGAATGGCATCTTTTACACCTGTGTTGGTTCAGAGATGGACAGGATCCTGGCTGGATTGGTAGTTCATTTCCTTTGATACTGAGGTTTTGTTTTTGTTTTTGTTTTTGTTTTTGTTTTTGTTTTGTTTTGTTTGTCCTCTGATTTTAAGGGACACCAACACATTTCTATAGGTTTTTGGCCCTGGACCCTACTTTCTGGGAAAGGAAACAAGGACGGGGCTGACCCCGGCACCACATCTCAGGGTCTGACACAGCTCACGGGGTCTCTTTGCCCTCTCTGGAAGCATCCCCTGCACAAGAACCTGTGTGCACCTGCTGTGGACAGGGTCTGTAACAGGTGCTGCAATAGCTGAAAGGGAGAATAGACTTGCTGTGCCCAGGTTGCGGGGCAGGGTGGGGTCCTGTCAGGTGCTGGGAGAATGGGAGGCGCTTGTCGCTGTCCTGCTGATGATCACATCCGTATCCTGGGCCACCCTCCTCTTCTTCCCTGCCCTCGCGGCCGTGACACGCACAAGTTGTTTGCTGCCAGGACCTCGACTCCAGCATCTTACCCTGGTTCACTGGGTCCTTCTCCCCCGATCTCAGAAGAAAGCCACGTCCATCAGCCCTACTTGTCTGGGCCTGACTTCGGCTGCCCCGTCACAGCTCCTTATTCAACCTGTCCTTACTGCAAGGCTATGGCACCTTCTCTCACATCCCATCCTGGACAGCAGATGCACGTGTGTTTGGTGGGGGTCTGTGTGCAGAGAACCCCCACAAGCATCTCTCCATGAGAGAGGGCTTGTCCCACTTCTTGACCACCCTGGATTCAATGGGTGGGATTGCACTGTGTTTCGAGGCTCAGAGGCTGTGGACTGTCTCAGCATGGTGCCCTGCCCAGCAGCCGGGGAGGTCAGGCTCTGCCCTGTGGCGCCTACGGAAACAGCCTGTAAAGCCGCCTGGCCAGCAAGCCCGTCCACGATGCCGCTGCCTCCCAGGTGCCTTGGCCACCGTGATTGCCTCACATCCTGTTTGTCCAGAGGCCAGAGATGGAGTGAGAGGGCCTGTGACTAGCAGCAAGGTTTGATCCTGCCAGGGCTGGTGGGCAACGGTGGTAAGCATGAGGCCCGTTCTGGGCGTTGGAGGCCATGCAGATGTCATGACTATTAACAGCGTCCTCGCTTGTCCCTCGGCCTGGGTCCATCAAGAGAAGTGGCTGGAAAGCATGTGTTTTCCGCAATTAATGAGGAACATTCTTGCACTGTGGGCCTCCAAGGGGCAGCCAATGGCCCCGGGCCTGGAAAACAAAGAAGCCGCAAGAAAGCCGAGAGGCTGCACGCTCTGTGGGCGGTTTCTGTCCCTTCTCTGCTCTCAGTGCCTTTCCAGGGTTCACTGAGCCCCACTGGGCTGGGTAAGCTGATTCTGCTGAGACCACCTGGGGGTGACATTGGGGTCTCCATGTACCAGCCGCCCCTGTCCCCAGCTTACCTTCTGGCACTTGCATCTGCACGCTCCCCTGGCCCTCGGAAGGCCTTTCCTGTATCCACCTCTGGGTATCCTTGCTATTTTCAGCACCCAGAGGCCCTGCATCCATACCTGGGCATGCATGCTGAGTCTTGAGATCCTTTCTGCTGACATCTGGCTAGACTCACTAGTGATGGTGCAGTGATTAGATAGGTGGGCTCTGTGCCTGCCCTGTGACCCAGCTGGCCAGGGTGCTTGACTTCATACTTGTGCCATCACTTCCAGGTGCAGTGCTGTCACTCCTCCTGGGGAGGTTACAGTGACGGGCAGGGCATGGGACAGGCATCTGGCATGGGGCAAGCTCCTATCGGGTTATTCGTTTTTGTTACAAACTGAACACAATGGCAGCTGATGTGGAGCATAACCACATGGTATCTTGGTAGATGGGCTGACACTCACTTGTACAACTCATGTCTTTTTTTAAAAAAAATTTTTTTTTATTGTTGCTTACATTGTATTATGTAGTACAGTTTTATAGGCGCTGGGGATTCCCCCCCACCCCTCCCATACCCCTCCCCCCATGGTGGATTCCTCCACCTTGTTGCATAACCATAGTTCAAGTTCAGTTGAGATTCATTGCTTGCAAACACATGCCTAGCATAAAGTTCAGCGTCTTATTGTCCAGATAAGTTCAGTGGCCTCTTGGGGACACCTTCTATGGTCTGAAGATAGGTCTAACAGAGTAAAGATCCGGTCAGTTAAAAGCCCCAACAAGGCCTCAGTATCAATATACAACATTATGGAATTAATTGACATAGTATTGGGTAAACAATATGTTAAAAATAATGCAAGTTCCATTCTTCGAAACATCTGGGTTGAGACAGTATCAATGACAGGTTCAAAAAATAACAAACAACCAAACAAAAAATTACAGGTTAAATCAAGGCAAACATGTGGTATCTAATCTTTTGGGATTCGCTCATTTCCCTTAGCATTATAGTTTCCAGTTGTGCCCATTTAGCCACAAAGAACTGCATTTTGTTTTTTTTAATAGCTGAGTAGTATTCCATGCAGTAGATGAACCAAAGCTTTCTTATCCAATCTTCTGCTGATGGGCATTTCGGTTGCTTCCATGTTTTTGCAATTACTGATTGTGCTGCTATGAACATAGGGATGCATGTTGGTTTGTCGTAAAACAGGTGTTTTGGATATATTCCTAGGAGTGCTATTGCTGGGTCATATGGTATGCAGATTTTGAGTTGTTTGAGTGTTCTCCAGACTGATTTCCATAAAGGCTGTACCAATTTGCAGCTCCACCAGCAGTGGAGTAGGGTTCCCTTTTCCCTGCATCCTCGCCAGCAAGCGTCGTTGGTGTTCTTGTTTATGTGGGCCAATCTTACTGGTGTTAGGTGGTACCTCATCGATGTTTTAATTTGGATTTCCCTTATTGCTAGGGAGCTGGAACATTTTTTCATATGTTTGTTTGCCATTTGGACTTGTTCCTTTGTGAAATGTTTGCCCATTTCCCGTGCCCATTTCTTGAGTGGCTTGTTTGTTTTGGTTTTTTGGTTGTTTTGAAGTTCTTTGTATATCCTGGAAATTAGCCCCCTATCGCCTATATCGTGTGCAAAGATCTTCTCCCACTCTGTGGGTTGCTTTTTTACTTTGTTGATTGTTTCCCTTGCTGTACAGAAGCTTCTTAGTTTGATGAGGTCCCATTTGTTTATTCTGTTCTCAACTGCTATTGCTTTTGGTGTCCTTCTTAGAAAGTCGGGACCTACTCCTAGGTCTTGCAGGGTATTTCCTACATTTTCTTGCAAGAGTTTGAAGGTTTCTGGATGTAGGTTTAGGTCTTTTATCCATGTAGATTGGATCTTAGTGTATGGTGATAGATGTGGGTCTATTTTTTTGTTTCTACAGGCTATCAGCCAGTTGTCCCAACAACATTTACTAAAGAGGCCTTCCCACTTGCTTGAGCTGTCATTGGTCTTTTTGTCAAAGATTAATTGGCTGTATTTGTGTGGGTTCCCTTTTGGTGCTTCTATTCTATTCCATTGATCTTCCTTTCTGTCTTTGTGCCAGTACCAGGCTGTTTTGATAACCACTGCTCTATAGTATGTCCAGAGGTCCGGGATTGTGATTCCCCCTGCTAATTTCTTATTCTTCAGGATGGTTCTAGCTATTCGTGGTATTTTGTGTTTCCAGATGAACTTTTGAATCATTGTATCCAGTTCCGTGAAGAATGTTTTGGGCAATTTGATTGGAATTGCGTTGAAAATGTATATTGCTTGTGGTAGTATAGACATTTTAATGATATTGATTTTGCCTATCCAGGAGCACGGGATGTTATTCCATCTTTTGAGGTTTTGTTCAATTTCCTTTTTAAATAGTTTGTAGTTTTCTTCGAATAGGTCTCCTACGCTTTTGGTTAGATTTATTCCCAAATACTTCATACTTCTCTCTGCTATTTTGAATGGTATCCTGTTGGTTAGATCTTCTTCCATCTTGGTGTTATTTGCGTACACTATGGCTATTGATTTTCGTTCGTTAATTTTGTACCCCGCCACTCTGCCAAACTCTCGTATAAGTTCTAGCAGTTTCTGTATTGAGTCTCCTGGTTTTTCTATGTATAGGATTATGTCATCTGCATATAGTGAAAGCTTGACTTCTTCGTTTCCTATACGCATGCCTTTGATTTCTTTTTCTTGTCTTATGGCCTCTGCAAGTACCTCTAGGACTATGTTGAATAGCAGTGGTGATAGCGGGCACCCTTGTCTTGTTCCAGATCTCAGTGGGAAGGGTTCTAGCTTTTCTCCATTCAGTATGATACTGGCATTGGGTTTTTCATAAATTGCTTTGATTATGTTGTGGATTTTCCCATCTATGCCTACTTTGGCTAGAGTTTTTAGCATGAAGAGCTGTTGGATTTTGGCAAAAGCTTTTTCTGCATCTATTGAAACTATTATGTGGTTCTTGTTTTGCAGTTTTTGGATATGGTTTATAACATTTATGGATTTCCGAATGTTGAACCATCCCTGCATTCCAGGGATGAATCCTACTTGATCCGGATGAATGATCTGTCTGATGATTTTTTGAATTCTATTGGCTAGGATTTTGTTGAGAATTTTAGCATCAATGTTCATCAGAGAAATAGGTCTGTCGTTTTCCTTCTCTGATGGTTCTCTGTCCGGTTTTGGGATTAAGGTGATGTTGGCTTCATAGAATGAGTTTGGGAGGGTTGCTTCCTCCTCTATTGTTTTGAAGAGCTTGTAGAGGATTGGGGTTAGTTCTGTTCAGAATGTTTTCTAGAATTCTGTAGTGAAGCCGTCTGGGCCTGGGCTTTTTTTCGTTGGGAGATCCTTGATGACTGTTTCAATCTCTACCTCGGTTATGGGTTTATTTAATTCTGCAGTTGCCTCCGGACTGAGTTTTGGTAAGTGGTGGGAGTCCAAGAACTTTTCTATTTCTTGGTGGTCCTCAAATTTGTGGGAGTACAGTTCTTTGTAGTAATTTCTAATTATTTTCTTAATGGTTGCAGTGTCTGTTGTTATGTTGCCTTTGTCATCTTTAATGCTATTGATTCTCACTTTCTCTTGTTTTTTTTTTTTTTTTTTTGGTCAATCGGGCCAGTGGAGTGTCTATTTTGTTTATTTTCTCAAAAAACCAACTTTTTGATTTGTTGATTTTATGTATAGTTTTTTTGATTTCTATTTGGTTTATCTCCTCCCTTGTTTTGATGATTTCTTGTTTCCTATTGTGCGTGGGACTCTTCTGCTGCTGTTTTTCCAGATCCTGGAGGTGTGAGGTTAGTTCCTGTATTTGGCGTCTTTCTTGGGCCTTGACATGCGCTCCGATTGCAATGAATCTACCTCGTAGCACTGCTTTGGCGGTGTCCCACAAGTTTTGGAATGTTGTATCAGAGTTTTCATTGGTTTCCATAAATTTTTTGATCTCATCTTTGATTTCTTCTCTGACCCAATGTTCGTTTAATAGCATATTGTTCAATTTCCAAGAGTGCCTATACTTCCTGGGGAGTTTTGAGTTGTTGATTTCCAGTTTCATCCCATGGTGGTCTGAGAGGGTACATGGTATGATACTAATGTTTTGGAAGTTGTTTAGATTCGCTTTATGTCCTATCATGTGGTCGATTCTGGAGAAGGTGCCATGCACCGCTGAGAAGAATGTATAATCTGTGGCCTTAGGATAAAAAGTTCTATATATGTCTACTAAGTCCAGTTGTTCTATTGTTTGTGTGAGCTCTGTTGTTTCTTTGTTGAGTTTTTGTTTCGTAGACCGGTCCATTGTTGTTAGAGGTGTGTTGAGATCGCCTACAAGAATTGTGCGGGTGTCTATGTCTTCCCTTAAGTCTGTAAGTAATTGCTTTACGTAACTAGGTGCATTAAGATTCGGTGCATAAACATTAATGATGGTGATTGCTTCTTGATGGATCATTCCTTTCACCAGTATAAAATGGCCTTCCCTGTCTCTTTTGATGTTAGTTAGAATGAAATCTATCTCGTCTGAAATTAGGATAGCTACCCCAGCTTTTTTTTCTCGTCTATTAGCGTGAAATATCTTTTTCCATCCCTTCACTTTCAGTTTCTTTGCATCCTTTCTGGTTAGATGCGTTTCTTGTAGGCAACAGATGGTTGGGTCTTGTTTGATGATCCATTCTATTAATCTCTGTCTTTTGATTGGTGAATTTAGACCATTTGTGTTGAGAGTTAAAATTGAGAGGTTGCAATTTTGCCCTGCCATGTGATTGTGTTGTGTGTGTGTTGTTGCCTATGTAATTGTCTTGTTTGTGCGGCCTTTAGTTTGGAGACCTTCTTATTTGCCAACTTTGTTTGTGATTTGCCTCCTTTTTGTCCGGGACTAGCGCATTTCTAAGGAGACTTTGCAGGGCTGGTTTTGTGTAGACATATTCTTCTAGTTTTTCTTTGCTATTGAAGTATCTGATTTCGTTCTCAAATACAAATGAGATCTTTGCTGGGTAGATTATTTTTGGTTGACAGTTGTTTTGTTTCAGGACTTGGAAGATCTTTGTCCATTCTCTCCTTGCTTGTAGGGTCTCTTCGGAGAAGTCAGCAGTGATTCTGATGGGTTTTCCCCTGTATGTGATCTTTTCTCTACTTCGTACTTGTCTCAGGATTCCTTCTTTGTCTTCATTGGAGTAGAACTTGAGCACCGTGTGTCTGGGTGAAGATCTCTTTGGATCATGTCTGTTGGGAGTTCTCTGTCCATCCTGTATGCGGGGTGGGTTCGTGTTCCAAGTGTTTTGGAAATTTTCCTGTATAATTTCATCAAGCACTGCTTGCATCCCAGATTCTCTTTCTACTCCCTCGGGGAGGCCGATGATCCGAATATTCAATTTTCTAAGGTAATCCTTCATCTCTTGCATCATTTTATTAGTTTTGCTGAGGTTTGTCTCCAGCTGTTTAATTCGCTGGGCACCTTCATTTTGTGTGTCTTCTGTTTCAGAGATCCTTTCCTCTGCCGCATTTATTCTGTTGATGAGACTTTCAATTTTATTATCTTCGGCATCCAGTTTGGTTTTGATTTGTTGTATTTCAGTGATTATGCGGTTCTGGAGGTCTTCCAGCTTTGTGTCCACGTCTCTGAGAAATTTTAGCATTATTTTCATCAATTCCTTTGCTGGTAACACTTCCATGTCTTCATCTCGTATCGCCAATATTGATAATGGCTTTTGGCCCTTGTTTGGTGGGGTGCTGGCTCTTTCATCTGGAGCACAACTCTTTCTGGTGGTTTTTCCCATTGCGTTGGTGTATTCTGGTGAGGCAAATGGACACGTGTGTTGAGGGGCTGTCAGGTGCTTTCCTGTAGAGATTGGAGCCTGCAGGCGTGGTGTTGCCGGGCGTGGTAATTTTCAAGGCACCGTTGGTGCGTTCTCAGGGCCCGGGGCTGTAGAGCACCACCTTGGGGGCCCAGTGGATTCCAGGAACACTCTGGGCACCTCTTCTACAGGTGTGACACCCCAGGGCGTGGAGGTATGGAGGCGCTCTCTGGGTGTGCCCCCTGTGCGGGAATCCACAGGGCGTAGAAGGTTTTATGTGCTTTCTCCCTGCGTTCTCCGTGTCAGGGACTGCAGGGTTTTTCAGAGCCCACCTGGTGCGTCTCCCACACACGGGACTGTGGGTGAGGCACTTTCCAGGCGTGGCTCTTGTGCAGTGAATCCACCACTCGTGGTGTGTGGGTGTTCAGAGCCCCTGCTCCCGTGTGGCTCCCCCACACAGGCCCTTAGCGGAGGAGTGGCCCAGGCGCCCTGTTATAATGATTTCACGGCAGGTTCGCACCGTGTCAGTGTGGTGCAGGAGTTTTCAGAGCTCTCCTGGTGGGTCACCCACGCTCAGAACTGCGGGGTGGGAGGCGAGAAGTGAGCAGTTCACACTATGGGAGTGGTACCTGCGTGTCAGAGACACACAGCGTTACACTTCCCAAAACTCAGAGCCCTCCTGACACCTGACAGCTGCGCTGTGGAGGCGGCTGCTGCAGGCGGGACCGCCCAGCCCACTCGGGGCAGCATTCAGAGGCCTTCTGGTGTTCTCACGCACCCACCAGGTAGGGTGTGGGGGTCTCCAGACCCTCGCCAGCAGCCTCTGCACACCGAGACGCACTGGCCCCCTCAGCACAGGAACATCTGAGGCGCCTTCCCGGGGCCCCCTCAGCCACCAACACCACTATGCGTAGTTCCCAAGGCACAGACCTGACAGTTTCAGGCTGCCTGCCCCGCGTTCTCAGAGGCTGGAACCTCAGCAGGTGGTGAGGAATGCGGAGGCTGTTATGTTAACCCTTTGCTCACCAAACGTCCGGCTGTTGCAGTCTGCCTCTGCTGCTCTCCGCCAGCGACGATCCCTCCGATTTCCCTGTCTCCGAGCTGGCCGCGTTTCCCGTCAGGCCGTTTTCAAAAGTGACTCAGCAGGTCTGGAGTGGGATGTCGGTTTCTCTACCTTTGCCCTGCTCCGTTCTCGTTGTTCTTCCAAGTTGTGTGGATCTTTTTGGCTCCACACTGTCCCAGGGAGCTTCACGGACCTCTCCCTGCGGTTCCCTGCTGTTCCTCTTTGCTGCTTCTGTAGCGCTCTATCCCTCTCTCATTGGACGCTCCCTCACAGCCTTCCTCCTACGTCGGCCATCTTAAAACCACCCCAACTCCT